CAGTTCTTGAGGGAGCCCGTCGAGGTAGAGCGCTTCGAATCGGAATTGAGCAAACATGGAACCTGGAAGCGTAAGCCGGCTCGAGGTCTCCTACAGTTTTCACCCTCTTCCTCAGCGGAGGTTCCCACCTGCTGGAGGGAACTTCCTGCCTATAACACTTGGCAGTGAAGAATGTCCCAATCCACATCCGATGAGGAAACCGGCAAATGAATGCATACCACCGGAGCGAAATCGTGGGAAATCTTTCGCAGCTCGCGCTCCCTTTCGGGTTTCCCTCACATCCAGGAATAACGTAATTCCGTCAGAGGTATTGCTCTTGTGAGTACGAGTTGTAGACACTGGCGTCTCAGCTCGAAGCAACAATCTACAATCGGGGCTTCTTCGAAACTCGATCTTGGGTAAGTAGCTCAGACTCTGAGAAGCTCTCCGGCGCTCGCGGTCGCTACAAAGTTGCCCGGGACCTCCGGATAACGCGGGGTCGATGTCCGACATCTAAGGGAACGTGCTATCAGATCGCAGCCCGGACTGAGCAGCGGAAAACATTTCCGATCGAGTCAATGCGCGAATCTCGCGACGAAATCCGATTCATCGAGGAACATTCATCGCTCGTCTACCCCCTGACCAACAGTAAATCGGAAATCGGAAGGGAGCTCGGATGTCTGTAGCCGGCCTTGGCTCAGAACTCATGATTACCTCCTCACTCAATCATCGGCCCGCCCGGAAGGGCTGCTCTCCCTATTATTGCCCGCGCTACCCCAGCACGTCCTGTTCACTTTTTCTCCTACTTTTCCTCAGACTTGACATTGAGCAATGTGTAGCAACTTTCCGTTCAGAACTCTCCCGTCTCGCTGTCCTAGACTGTCACTCTGCTAGCCATCCGATTGGCGCAGCGATGAAGATCCGAAGGCTTGGTCCCTGGGCGGAGGACATCCAGATCCGAAAGGCTTTAAACTGCCGAAGGTGGCTTTAACGCCGGCCGCGCTTCCCTTTCGGGAGACGGTCTCCGTTACTGCACACAAGTCAATTGGAGAGAGAATCCCGTCATCCGCGGCGACTGAGTATTCGCCGTGCACAATCAATACTCGGGTTTGGCTCTGAGAAACATCCTACCTAATTGTTGTCCTTCCTGCTCACCGAGGACAGAGCCTACTCGCCAACCTGGGGAGAAGGGCAGATCCGCGCAACTACTCGTGGCGAGTTCCTTCCTCCTGGAGTCTCTTCGGATAAGTGTTTTTACTCTACGAGGAATCAATGCCCATCTGCTCGGTGTTCAATTCTGTGAGAGTCCCGCGAAGCCTCTCGGTGACGCTGCTCCCGAATCCTGGGAAACCTCCCGTTGTTCGTGACCAAATCGGAGTCGCATCCCATCATTGTTCCTAGCCTGACCTTGGGAGAACTCAAAGACTCGGAGGGGAGAAACTTTCGGAACAAAAGTCATCAACGAGATGGAATTACGTTCGGAGCCGTCTTATTTTTGCACAAGATTTCTCTTCTCTCCTCGCTCCGGACCTTTCCGGGACTCCGCCTCGGCAAGTGAATCTTGCCTACTCTTGGTGACCGATGAGTCGGGATGTTGAGAGGGTACTTACCGAAGCTTCTCGCCCCGACGTCGGAACGCACCCAAGATGGCGCCGCTGCGCTGCGCCCTGAACCTCATTATGTTTTCGAAGCGCTTCACAATGACAAAACGAGGAGTTTGGACGTTTCGAGCGACATGTCACACCACCACGATTTATTCAGCACTATTATCCTTCATATTTCATTTAAATCATCATAGTCATATTCAATACCTGCGATGCTCCAATCTTATCAACCTTGTTTGTGGTTGTTATGAGTGTAACTTCTTTAAATAGCTCATCTTACCTCTGAAATTCATTATTTATTGTTGCTTATGCATAGCATTTCAAAAACAGCTCTGTATGTATAAGTAGGTAATCAATGATGATTTTTCCCAATATTTTTCCTTGTCTTTCCCCTCAAGGCAAACGCCCGCGAGCTACAGCATGAATGATCAATTACTATAGAGGATAGGGGGAAGTCTTTGGGTATCCTCGAACATCATACCCCGTCTGGGCGACTATTTGATCAACAGAGTTCTGGAGAATCACATATGTAAATAGATAAAAGTCGAAACTGAGATTTCCTTCCTTCACGATATTTCTCTCTCAAACACACTGCTCGCATACAACAATCACTCGTTCAACCGGTCTATCATGATTTTCAGCTCCACTTTCGACAAAATCGTCCCATTCACCATGGTCGTTACCTCCACCGTTTCTAAGACTATCGTCATGATGATCATCACCATTGGCAGAACTTTCGAAGTCGCTGATGAGGGGGAGCAGTCGCGCTTTCTGAACTTGGAACAGCTCATCCCTCCCCGCTGGAATCGGTCATGAATCGCCCGGAGTTTTCTTGTGAAACGCCCACGCTGAAGCTCCAAAGTTCAAGTAGTACTTGCCAGACTTCGGCAATTCTGAGACGAGATCAAGTGATACGATGTATCGGAATCTGGATGAAAAGAACGAATAACTCTATTCAGAGTGCACTAAAGACTAAGATCCTCGATAAGATCAGCGGTTATCGTCAGGAATCAACGAGGATGAAGAGGACGAGTTCGCATCAGTCTTCACAAGACGAAGCCTAATGGGCAGTATTTCTTGGCCGATCACCACCAATGAAAGAATACGACTCTCTTTAAAGGTGAAGCATTTCGAACAGACCCTGTGTGGACACGTTGAACTTCGTAGCCAGTACGGGTTAGTGTGCCTTTTGTCACGTCGTTGACCCACATGAATCATTCTTGTGTTGTTCCACGACGCACCGACCCGGTTCGGGCCGATCGGAGGTACGGACCCCTGACGGAGCACCTTGGAGAACGGATTTCTGAATATTTGCTAGAGGGAGGTCCATCTAATGAGCGGTCGGCCGGCATGTGAGCTGACATTCACAGATCGAGGAAATTCAATCCTTTCGACTGACTTCGTCCGCTCGACTCCCGAGTCGCGCCACACCCCATGTGAAGAATCATAAAAAAATCGCTTCTGCTTATTTCTATTGTATCCCTAGTGTAGCTGTTCATGAGCCGGATCGGATACGGGTCGTTGAGCCTTTCCTCCTTGAAACCTTCACGGTGAATCTTCCGTTTTTTCGCTACCCGCGCTAATTGTGAGCAGTCTCGAACACCTCGCTTTGAATCTTGACGACTACGGTCTTTCAGAAGAGCCTCAAAATGGAAGTTTCTCAGGATTCAACTCGTAATTCCATTCCAGTGTCGTTCAGTCACATTCCTCCTCTCGTCTGATAGCTTCTCGCAAACTCTCCTCTGAACTGGGAGTCGAGTTGAAGTTGCGACCTCCTCCATCGATCCGAAATCAGGGAGTATCATATACCTCGTCCCGAGCGGGGACGGATCTCGCATATCCGGGACTTTCGATGACAACAGTGTTGACTCAGTCCGCAAAGCGATCAGGGGTATCGTGGGAAGAAAGAACTCAAATCCCTCACCGAAGGATGAGCGAGAGCATGCCACGAGCTCGAGGATATTAGCCTCGGCTACTTTCGCTTAAATGCTGACAACATTTCGCGCTGTGTCCTTGAGAGAGGTAGAGGCGTGATTGGAAGTATTTATCTCTCCATACAAGCACGATGTCGGAGAAGGTGCAAACGTGCATGCAAGCATTCACGCACGAGCTCGCGCAGACGAGGCTGTCGAGGGTGAAGGACACTCGTCGTGGGAAACTCTGGGACGACGAAGCGGTCACCGGCGCGAGAGACACATTCACTCGGAACCTCAATCGAACGGAGAGATTTGCCGACTGCGCGACACCGTTTGAGCGAGTCTATAGAAAGTTCCAAAACGACGGCACAGAGAAGGTATGCTTCGACCGGAAAGCAGAGAAACGCTCTCGAAGGTGGATCTCACACATCCTCACTCACTCAAAGATTCCCCACCTTGCTCTCGTGCTAGTCCTCGCCGTATTCCATTCATCCGCCATGCGTCGAAAAGTCCCCAGAAAGAAGATTTGTCGAACCGAGCCGAGGTAGACGAGGAGGGAACTTCTCCCGAATAAACGTCGGTGACTACGCTCAATGTCTCCTCAGACTTCCGAGCCGAGAAATTTCCGACTTCATCTCCCAGACCGATGCTTCCATGGATGGGTCCGAATTGGAATGAGTATATTCACTGATTTCGCCCACGGCCCATTCGAGATCCGTTTATCTAACTTTGCATTGTGTTTCCCTTCCTGATATGGTCGTTCCCTCCTCGCTTATCCTTCCTCCGGGTCCCCAACCCCTCCAGACGAGCAGCATTCAGGAATCAACGTGTGGGAAAACCCGAGCAAACTTGTCCGAAGCCGTTTCGCTCCAATCCAGTAATTTCGGAGGTCCCGAGAAATTCCTGCAAATCACTCAATAGAGTATCCGGATTCGTTCTCGTAGATCGCACGAGAGCTCGCCTCATTTCAGGCTCCGATTCCTCTATCTCCTCATCATCCACATATCCCCGTAACGCTCAACAACAAAAATATTCTGAGGCCCTCTCAGGTTAGGCTCCTCAGAAGCGGAAAATCCAGCCTTTGATATCTACCGACGACATAAGCGTCGGAACAGAGTAAAAACGCGAGAGACGACCTGCTGCATTCCGATTGACGATATGAGGGCTCACCATGATTCATGACCGCAATAATTGCAAACATCCCTAGTAGGTAGGTAATACTATCAAGGTTACGATCGAATTGTCGATGCTGACTCAATGGTGGAGACAAGACCAATGGTGCTTGATGGTGATCAGGGTCTCAAATCTTTTCACTTCACGCGCATGTGGGGTGGATCAGTCGTTGAAGCAGGATTAGATAAGAGGGAGGTCCAGGAGCGGATGGTTGGGGAAGTCGGGAGAGAATTCGAGGGAAAGACGGAGAAAGATTCGGAGGAGGTCGTTCGAGACTCGGATCCTCGGTGTCTCGCCTCCCAAGTGAGATTTGCGCGGCACGGTGATCTCAATCAGAGGCTGCAGTCGATGCTTCGGCTATTGAGGAGTTTCCTGCCGGAGGAGGTTGCGGTGAAGTCTGGCCGGACGATGACTGAGATCCCATGGCTAATTTTCGCATTTGTCGTATCACAGCCGTTGCGTTGTAGGCTTGCTGTGAACGGAGAAGAGAAACACAACGTCAAGCCGGTGTTTGCTGGATCTTTAGCAAGAGAAAGTTCGCTCTCAGAAACTTCGGTCGCGGTCATCGATGCGTGTCCAAGCGCAAGACGCAACCGACAGCGACTATCTGTCAGATGGGTCTTGGGAGTTCTTTTTCGACTGAATGAACTCTGCAACGCACTCGCCCGGGAGGACTTTGTCACACTAATTGATAATAAATTAAAGCGAAACAGCTGGTTGTCTCAAGCTGCGAGACCGCTGCTTGAGGGAGCTCCGTTCGAACTTCGGTTGCCGATTGACTCGATCGATCAACTCGCCGATGGAATATCGGAGAATACGGGAATCGATGCATAAGCTGACATTGAAGGGTCTCGCTGGCCAAGTTGCTCCATTGACCTTTTCACCAATGGCCTTCGCACCTCCCGAGACGACGCTGGACCTTTTTCTTCTCTCGATATGGCGCGATGTCACCCCGCAAAGAATTCGGGACGGGGGAGGGGTCAGTCTGCTCTTTACTCACCCTCCATTTTGTTTTCGCGAAGTTTTTCTTCAGTTGCTCACTGACAGAACCGTGAATATTCTTCGAGGAGGCCGTGTTCCCAGATATCCAGGGATGACCGAGCGCTTGTCGACAGGTAAACCGACCCTCGACGTCCACACAGATCAGGTGTCGGATGAAGTCTTTAGCTGAATCACTGATGTCGTCCCAATAGGGGGAATCGAATTCGAACTCGCCTGCAAAACATTGGGGAATGTCGTCAATTTCACAGAGCTTAGGCGACAGAACCGAAACATATCGGACTCGGATGATCTTCGTGGCGATAGTTAGTAGATCGTGGCTCGTGAATCGAATCGCCATTAATCTGGATTCTCAGGAATATTGCTTTCCGAAGCTTCTTCAGGGCGTGAGGGTCGAGGGAACTCGAGAGCAGCGTCCCAAAACATGAGCTCGAACTTTTCGCACTTCCTCGACGGTAGGAGAGGATATCTCCTATCCTTAGAATATCGACTGAATCATCTCGTCTTCTTACGCGCGGATTTATTCATTATTCTATCGCTCAGGTGTCATGAATCGCTCAGGAGGCGAATTTCCAGAAATCGACCGCGGTAACGAAATCATTGTGCAGTCTGAAAATTGATATGGAAACACGATATCGAGAAGTCACCCGATGCGGGTGGCACGGCAGGCTCGTAACTTTCCTCAAGTAACTAGTCGCCTAATTTCTTCGACTAATAATGGGGCAAGGTAAAGAATGCGGAACTAAAACTAGGGAGTGAAGAAGTCATTTTTCTTATTCCGGCTCCGCGAAGACATTCCGATCAAGCAGCGATTTCCCCCAAACCGAAATCGACAGCCGGTCGGTGGGACGGAGCGATTCGGATGGAGGGGGAACGAGGAAGAAATCAACGACTGCAGGAAGAATTCAATGAGAACCGGCCAGCGTCAGTTGCGTTCCGAATGGAATCGGTCAACCGGTCGTTTCTCAGCTCCCCGACTAGCGGAGCATTCGAATGGAGCGGAGTTCGTTCCCAAGACTGAACATCAGCGAGTTGTTGAACGTCAAGGAAATCGGAGAGTCGCCTGGATCAGTTCCGGCACCGATCTCCGACTGGTAACTGGTGGCTAGCGGTCGTGAGTGGCGGAATCGGAGTTTCAAAGCGGCAATGGAAGCCTCCCCCACCACAGCGTACCAAACCGAAAACGAAGAGTCTCGGTCCCGGCGGCGGACTCCAAGTGGGAGCGAGCGGCCCTGAGTACGTCGGCGTCGTGGGTGAGCCTTGGAATCATGTAGATTGAACATACAACTGGTGCACATGATCCTAATGCTAATCCATGCTGATTGATCGGATCTACGCGGGCGTAAGGCGGACAGATAAAGAGTCCCTCTTCACCTAACGACCTTTTTTCCTCACAGCATGGTCGGCATTCTTGCTTCGAGAGTTGCCTGAGCTTTGCGGGGAAAAAGGGAGCGAACTCATCGAGTCGTCTGGACGAGCCGTGCTGGCCTTCTTCGATTTTCCTGGCCGATGGCTCAAGCGGGCGCCCGGTCGGTCGGTCGCTCGGTTGGAGGACCCACTGGCAGGTCGGAAGGCCAGCAGGCTTGACCGAACCGATCTCGTACAGTCTCCTGTCTTCTAATTGGACTCTTCATCTCAGTACAGCGGACGTGAGCGGAATTCTAGCTTGTTGTACTCCATCTTACCTTTGAGGATTTGGGCGAACAGGTTAGCGTCAGACTCGTCGTAAAACGGGGGATATCCACAAAGGAGGATATAGGCGATAACGCCCATAGACCAGACGTCGACCGCTTTCCCATAAGGTTTCTGCGCCAAGACTTCCGGGGCTGAAACAATCGGATACGATTTTATCCCCGGGTTGGATCCAGGTTGCCGACCCCTACGCCGAGCGGAATGAGGTCTCCAGTACATTCGTACACAAATTCGGTATCTACGCAGATCAATTTTTTCGCTTGAAAGGAATTGGAGGAACGCTCAAAAACGGCTGTGTCGCGGAGCGACTACGCCGGGCCACGCGAGAAGGTCGCGTGAGAGAACTCGTAACGATGCGAACGGAAAACGGAGAGTCGGTGTTCACCCCTGGTGTATGACGAACGATGAAAACTACTCACCGACGTAGCCCGGAGTCCCACATGCCGTCGCCATCACTCCGGAATCTTCCATTTTCGAGAGACCAAAATCACTGATCATGATTTTGGATTCCTCCTCTGTCGAATAGTACAACAAGTTTTCGGGCTTTAGGTCCCTGTGGACCACACCCTGTGAGTGCATGTAATCCACCGCTTCCAAAATCTGTCTGATGAGATGAGATGCGTCCTGTTCTGTGTAGCTGCCTTTCTCTACAATTCGGTCGAATAGTTCACCCCCCGTCACGCTGCAAATGGAGAGAAAATACTCAGTAAGTGGAGAAAGTCTGCTAAGCGAATTCTCTTTCGAAAGGAGTCGCTGCTCTCGCAGCTTTGAATAGAGCGAAACGAGAGAATCATCTGGCGAGTCGTCGGAACGAAAGCGCTGGAAACGGCAGGAGTCGGCCCAGATGGCAATCGTTCACTCATTCCTCGAGCGGTGGGAGAACATTTTATTAGCTAAGTTGACGTTTCGTCTGCTTTCCCGTCCGTTTCTCCGTCCATGAACACCGGGGCAAAGCTCCTCTGCAGTGTTTACTCTTCTCGACCTTGAGCGCATGATTATTGACGTGGAATCTTGTGACCTTCTTCTCTGATCTCACTGTTCTAGGCGAATAATAATGATATGTTCACAAGAGCCGGATCGATGGGGAATAACATCGATAGTGGCAAGCATGAGAGGACCTCAATCTCCGGAATGAACAAGGTACCGAAGCTATAGCGAAATTCCTTCGATTCTCAGCCAATGGCACGGCGAGCGATTGAGGCATTTCATTCATTTATCGGGAATCGCAGCAAAAGCTCTCGCGGGCCTCCGAAGCTTCTTGGGCGTTGGGCATCCGTCGCATGAATCGACCTCGTTTATGGAATCGCGACAGCAACTCACCGCACCGTTTTTGAGCGGGGCGTGTTTCGCGGCCAGGGAATAAAATCGCGACATTCTCTGTGTTATGTGGATTCCCTGGGGAGTTTTCCATGGATCAAACTGTGCATGAAAAGGGTCGTGCTCGACCGCAGATCAAGCTATTTTGAGATGCTCCAAATTATTCCTCTGAGCCTATTGGGCCACAGGAGACAGCCTTGGGTCACGTCCAAGCAAGGCCGCCCGCTCGTTGTCGCACGAGCCCCTAACAACCCCTCCGTGCCTCTTTCGATGACACGCTCTTATCTGACCCTCTCTGGTTTCCTCTTGGTCACTCCCGACCGCGTTCTCCGGAACGAAAGTCCGCCGTACCCTCCCTGATGTGTTTGTCCAGCACTCTGGCTTCCGCACTGGCCGCTTGGAGCATTCGGAAGTCTCTGCGTGCGATAGCGCTGAGCGCTCACTCGCTGGGCCACTCGAGAGGACGGCCCCCCCCGGCGCCTGATAGAACCCCGACAATTCAGGCTTTTTCGGATGGCTCGTTTTTTTTATGGTGGCTTTTCCAGTGTTCAATGTCGGTGAATCTCCTCCATCGAGTCTGGCCGATCGGTCTGCGTTCAGCCGCTCTAAGTCACTACCTAATTGCCGGGATTATCGAATTTTCCGATGCTGACGGGGGACCAGAGTGCATTTGCGAAAAATGGGCGGTTGCGGAACGGAAAATGATCGTTTAATAGCGAACCTTCCGTTTGTCGCCGCGAGCGGAAACACTTTCACTCGGCGTTTCTCCTCATCCAGCTGTTAACGAATTCGGTTCCGTTCGTCTCTAATCAGGTCGCTGATGTTCCCTCGTCCCATTTTCCGATGATTTCTCCCAATATTGACAGTCCAGCGGAGCGATAAAACAGGATTGTTGCAAGCTCTCGAAGCGCTTTCTTCAAGCTCGAAGTTTTCGACAATGATTTTGAGGGTCGCTGTTCACCCCATCGACGAATCGAGTTCACGCGACGCATTCCCGCGGTGGATGATTTAAGTCATCGTTCCCGCCCGTGCGACGGGAGGCCAGGGGAGATCTCTGGCAAGGAAATAACTTACAGCTCCATGACGAGGTAGACTTTATTCCGATCCTCGAACGTCTCGAGTAACTGAACGATGTTGGGATGCTTGAGTTTCCGGAGTACCTTGACTTCATTTTCCAAGGAATCTTCCTTGCCTTTGAGCGCCTTTTTGTCGATGCATTTCACAGCGTACATCTCGCCGGGTCGCTCACGACTTTCGGCCAAAACCACTTGCGAGAACGCACCCCTGAAAGAAAAGAAGATATGTCAAACTTCCGATGAATGTCGTACCATTCGTATGTACTTCTCCACACCCTGTGTGTCATCTCGGCGGGGGAGCAGACCTCTCGAAGATCGTCTGTCGTTCGCTCCCTAGAGCAGCCGAGAACAGGGCGGCAAATTCCTCCCAATTTCAAGGACGACAGCGTCGAAAATGACGGAATCGCGGTGACAGGAACGCCGCGGGCGGAAACGAAGGAGTCGATGGAAGGGGGAACTCGTCTTTCCATTGGGCGGCGGAAAATGTTCCTCGCTGTGACGAGCCACGAGATTGCCGACAAATTTTATGCCGTTCAGCGCGAGGTCCTGTGAGTAGGAGGAAGAGGGCCTTGCGATGGCGGCTCCATTTCACATGTGAGCGCCCAACAGAAATACGGGGAATAGCAATCCTTCTGCCGGAGTTCCAGCGTCGGATTCGGGAGAATTTCGAGGGAGTCGATCGAATGTGAGCGTCGGCGCTGTTCACCAAAACTTCAGCCGCTTGACACCCGGCGCCCGCCCGTGGGAGCTTCGCATCACTCACGCTCCGTCAGCTGCAGCTGATTCAATCTCTGTGCGAGAAAGTTCGGAATTCCACAATTTTACACCTCGGGGCCTGATACCCAACGCTCGAGACGTCAGCGGATTTCGATCGGGAGCTGGATCCGTAAAAGAAGTTTATTGAAAACCTGCCTGACGGATGCCATCGCTTCTGATGAGATCGTGTTTCACTAGGGAGTGTATTCCGGCTGTCGCCTTTGTGTCGCAGGGTGAATTCGACCGTCCCATGGACGCCATCAGATTCGCGAGGGCATCGCGTTGGACACCCAAGGCTATCAGAACATGTCACGCGAATGGACGAAAATCCGTACATTTGCATGAGGGGCCTTGTCTCTCTGGCTTCCTCGGTCGCCCGACTTTTGGGTCGCCTGATTGCGCGAAGGCTTACCGCCATCTCGTCTGCTCCCAGTGACAGGCGTAGCGAGAGACATATTGGTGCAGCAGAATCATCTCCACACTTCTAGTCCTCGTCCTCTTCGCCCGGGGGAACTTTGTGGGCGTCTTTCTCCAGAAGTGGAGTGTACCCATCGCCGCCGAGGCCAGAAATGTTGATCTTCCGAAGCATATTCGTTTTCTGGCGGAAGACGGGGGCGAGAGACGATTCCGTCGATAGGCGCGAATCGTGAGAGTGCGGGGATTCTCGCAGTGTCAGTGTCCCTTTTCAAGAGCCTTCCTCAGCGAGAGCGTTCCTGCGTCGACTCCCCAATGACCCTATTACTCATCTGGTGGCACTGACGTTACCAAGTACGAAGAGCTGAAGGAATCACAAGCGGCTCCGGAGGAGAGTTCGCACCACGAACCACCGGAGCAAGGAACAGACACTCTGTGTAATAGTGCATCTCCCGATATGAGCCGGCCAACTCTGTCGGTCGCTTTCGGCGGCGGGGTACTCGTCGGCTTCATAGGAATACACTCACAGCGCTTTACGGCTCCCGAGAAGCAATCATCGAACTGCTCCGAACGGAAGAGACCCTCCTCGTTCCCCCAGGATCTCCCCACGTATTCGGCCCCAAAGTCCCCGATCAGCTCCCATCGGCGTACTCCCCTCCCTTTTTTGATTGAGGATGAGTCGATCTTCTTCTATGAAATGAGTTTGACGCCGCGTTCCGTCAGAAGGAGTGTTCCTCGCATTCGTACGTGGTCGGACCCATGCATCTGTCAAGAAGAAGTCTTCAGTCTGTGACAGACCTTCCAGCCAAAAGTTAGTAGCGGTGGGCGGACCGACCAGCTGGCCGAACCGATAGACCGACGCGACGACCGCGACAGAAGCCAGCACCGCTCCTGCGAGCAGTCGCCAATTATTTGCAGGAGCCATGATAACGTAGGGTCGTAGCCTCCATGGATTAGACCCTGGTAAACAGCTCTTTTGAAACGTCTTCCCAGTCCTGTGGATTCCACGGTGGGTAGGGTGAGGGAAACACTGAAACGAATACCGCAGAGGTGCGAGCTCAGTGCGGCGCCAGCGCTGCTCAGGCGCTGCGCTAAAGGAGGAATACGTAAGATCGGTCTCAGCTGCAGTTTGCGCAAGATTCGCATCCGAACATCACACGGGATCCAGACATCTGGCTATTCTGAGCTCGATGACCGGGTGCCTTGATTCCATGAAACCTGGCCTTAGGGTCTCCACCGTACGGAGGCGTGAACTCGGTCCAGAACTCTTTCCTTGTCGGCCTAGGCTTGTTCCTTCTCCTTACACAGTGGTCTGAGACTCCTTTTGGAACCACTCGGATGTGGATCCAGAGCTTTGTCTCAGCTTCAGTTCGCGAAGCCCGTTCGGAAAGAAAGTGTAAGCTTCCGAAAAGGAGCAGGAGGTCGAAGGACCGACGGAGCAGGCGGGAAGAAGAGCAGGAATCAATCATACTCCCAGTCTTCAGTTTATAGAGTAGGACTCACTGCTGGCGGTAGGCAGTGAGCATCCGAAGGCTTGTGGCGAAGCTCTACGCTCCGACCAGATCGAGAATCAATATCGGCTCTGATATATACAGACGCGCGTACTCACAAACTCGCGCTGTGCGATGGGAGCCGTGAGAGACCTGAGCATACGGAATGCCAGGAACGCGTGGATGAGAGCGCAGGAGCAAATTACTCCCAACGGTGATCTGCAGCCGACCGTTCCCGAAGTAATCACCGTGGCAGGAAGTTCAGCGCTCACGCTCCCTCTCAGCCGATTAGCTATAGAGAACTCTCGTTTGAGAACACCATATTTTTTTGCACGAGGTCAGAACATCATCTTGTCGAACACGCACATGGTGTCCATGCGATTCCGAGGAAGGAGTTCCCACTGGAAGCTCGGAGAAACCATGATGACAGATGATCCTCGATGTCGTAGTGAGAAATAGAAAAAAAAATAGAAAAAACTCTATAGAATTTTTTCCCTCCCGTATTTCTCCAGCTATCACAGTACTACAGCCTCGATTAATTGATTACGAGACTGGCGGCCGGCTGGGATCCGTCGAGCTTTCTCGGCGTACAGCTCCGTGGTCGAGAAAAGACATAAATTGCACTTCCTTATCAAAACCTCGGCCTATCGCTGTAGGATCGGAATGGGAAAGTTGTTCTTCTCTCGATCAGGTATCGGTCGCGATCTAAGCGGACTCTGATCGGATTTGCTCCATATCTCTTGCCGATTCTCCATGCGTTCGGCGAGACCCATCAAGAAGCATCCGTCGAGGAAGTTTGAGTGAAATTCCTGGAGCTGTCGGGATTAGGTTTCCTCAAACTTTTTGGAGACTCCAAAAAGCCACGCGGGGGTCTCCGCCAGGCTGCCACGCGCAGTCCACTCCGGAAGTAGAAGAGGGAAAAGCTGCAGTAGAAGCGCATTCTCGGGGATTAGAGACGAATCCAGACGAGGGCTTTCGACACTAGGAGCACCTTTCAGCCTCGGTGGTTCTATTTATGTTCGAGATCACCAAGTGAATCTCCGCGGTAGACTCCAACAGCTCAGTGTATTGAATCGGTGCTGATCCTGGCTGTGCGAAGATTGTGCGTCAATCCGGTTACGCCTTTCATTCGCTTGCGGGATCCTCCCATAATCACAACAATAGCTCGTCGATGCAGATATGAGACCGGCGAGGACACGGTTTGTCGCGGCGGTAACCATAGCGCAGCTCTGACCGCTTGCCCGATGGTCGTCGGTACCCGCGCGGAAACTCTCTTCTCCGAAACGAGCCGTGTATACGCTCTCGTAAATAGCGCGTAAATTCTCCCTCGTAGAAGTCATTTGGAACCATTCGCGCCCTTCGTGAGAGCTCTATGCTTCCATGGCACGCCAGCGCGATTCAGTCCGGCCAAGCCGTGCGATGGAGAGAGGAACAGCGATAGTGAGCGACAGAAAGAGGTAAAATAAAAGCTTTCCATCGCGCTGCCTTGTCTCCGCCGTATTCGGCACCCGCAGTCGCAACAGTGGACTCCGCCCGACATGTACCTACCTAACTGGCTCGCGACCAGCTACTCTGCGCACTGCCGGTCAACCACTGGACGGCTGAGTTCTCCGAGACACGCTCCACAGCCGGCTCGCATCGCTGGCTCTGACCGCGACCGAATAATTCTCGTTCCCCACCGGTTGAACTTCGGATTCAAATCGATCTCTCTGGAGCGGAGAGAATGCTCGAGCATCGTCGCTACTGGTCAGTGCAGCGATGAAGGTTCCGGGCGCCCGATGCAGATGGAACGATCGAGCGAGGAGTGAGACAGGAAAAGTCAAGAAATCCGAAAGGATGTGTGGACGCATCGGTCGAGCGCATCTTCTGACCTCGAACCCGAAGAATCGATTCGATGAATGAGGCGAGCGAGCTCCAATCGAAAGTCGATCGAAATCTTTGCGTAAACTTCCGCCGACACTGGACTGCCGGGGCGTACCGTGTACATCGAGTTCGAGGCTCCTACGAGTCGAATTAATTTATATCGAGTACAAATCCATGCGAGGAGTCGAATGTGAACTATCCGTGGGATTCCTAATGCCACGCCGCTCGATAGAAAGGAAGCGCTCGACACCTTCTTTTTTTCCCCCGGAAGACCCGACGAGACGACGACGGGGAAAAAAGGAAATCGTCTCATACGCCCTAGGTTCAACAAATATCGAACCCTACCCCCGGGAACTTCCCAGTCAATTTCCGGCGAGCTCCTCCATGTGATTATTAAATTTCTCTCTGCTCTTGTATCCGTCTTACCCGTGAGTCCTGTGGTCGTATCATTTTATTGCTTTCTGCAGCTTACGTCTTTCCCACGCCCCTCCTCCCCGGAATACCCGTCCGTATCTCTTCCTGTTCCATGTCTTCCAACTCAATCGGATCGTGGACGCAGAGGAACAACATCCTGGAAATCTCGCCTCGGGCTCAACTTAGTGCGAGCTGTTTCCACGCAGCCAAGCTCGCTGCCTTGTAAGCTTGAAGCGGACTGCTTGTTCCTCGCTAGGACCCTCGTTATTAT